GACTTAGCCGGCTAAGCCGAATTTTAAATATCGACTTAGTCAAGTCGATAAATAAGGATCGACTACAAACACTAATTATATTATCGTATTTTCGCGAAATGAAGCGGGGGGATAATTTCAAATTTGGCTTAATGCCGTTATTCTAAATAACACTCATAGCGTTCTTACGCGAAAATACGGCATTTATTAAAGGTATTATAAACTATTTTAAAGTATTTTAATTTTATATAAACAAACTTTTGATATAAATCTATATAATTTTTATATATAATAACAAAATATCTTAATTAATTTCAGAATAAATAATGGAGTTGGTAATTTCTTCCGCTTGTACACTATAGTTTTTGTGTATTTCTCTATAAATTAGAAAAATTAGATAAAAAATAAAAATTACGTATAACTCAAAAGATGATCTATGATTAAGCATACCCATAAATAATTACAAGAAGTGTGATCAAAATTAACATAGTGGTTCCATCTAAGCTTATAGCTGCTATAATTATGTACCATATCATGTATTTCTCTATTGTTCTTCTCATAAGAGCAGCAAAAAAACCTAAAAACCCAAACCAACCAACTGTAACAAGTAGGCTAAAATTTATAATCTTGAGCTGCATATTTTATATATGTATTTTTATAAACAATTACAATATGATTTTTAATTCAATTTTTATTTTTATTTTTATTTTTTTTAAAAAAATACCTTCTTCAAATGAATACGATAATCTTCTAGACATAAAGTCTTACGTTGCGAATTTCTTATGTCCATCAATCCTATTAGTGTAGCACTTTCCTCAAGTAATTTAATAACTAATCTTCCATACTTCATAAAACATACGATTCCTAACACGTCCGAAATTCCAAGCCCAACTCCTAGAAGTGTGTGAGTTATATCAAATGGCGTATTTTCACCAGTTCCTTGAAAATAACCTCTTAATATTGACAAAATTAAAGTAAGAACAAATGTAGTGATTGTATATGTCCAATACACTTTAAGCATTGAGTTAGGGTTTGGTATAAACCGGTTTGCAGTCAAATGGTCTTCAGGAAGATCGGCATCGATACTGAAGACAGAGTGTTGGTTTAATGCTAATCGAGGAAGTACTTTAAATCTAAAAAAAAGATTTATTCATTAATAAGTTATAAATCAAAAGAAAACCGTTAATTTAGACGAAATAAATTACATGCTAAATAAGTAGGTTGCAATAGCGAAGCATCCAAATGCCCAACCAAGAGCCGAAATAACCGACTTTATGATATAATTATCAGGAAACAAATCTTTTGTTGCTATTAGTAGTGAAATTGTTCGAACTGAGGAAAAAAAAAAATTGATTATCATTAACAATGAGTTAACTATAGACCACAGGCTATAGCGCCAGATAATTAAATTTAAAAATTCTAACGATTGGAAGTTTATATACTATGCAATTGTTAACAGCTTATAAACTACTGAATGGAATAATACATTATATACAGTATTACTATAAATAATACACATACGTACATGTCCCATGCAAAAACATCAAAATCAAAAATCCTTTAATAGGATCCAAGTTAATATTCCTTTTTATTGGAATATTATTCCAAACAGTCTTATAAACCAAAATAGCTAACGATAAAATTGAGATCATCAAACATAATATTATTGAAACATAACATATCCAGAGCATGTATGAACTTTCTTCACAATTTATTATAATCGATAAGTCCCATCGACATGGTGTGAGAGAAATGGTTTGATTTTGCAAGGTCACATTATTATTTAAGCTTGAGTATTGTAAAGTCATAAGATTTATCATAAATCGTAAAGAATTGTACGTATATAATATGACTAAGTTACGCTAAATAGCGATATCAAACTAATTATATATCCAGACCGGGCGTGTTATTCCCGTGATTTCCTTTTTTAGTATACACAAAACTAAGGTTTCATGATGTTTGAACCAATTGTGTAGTAGTCATCTATTTGTTCTATTTGTTGTCCTGGTACACTCTCATTAAATAATGTCACGGTTGATTCTCAAAACATCGCACATCTATTTTGTAAATCAAACTGCCCTAAATATCAAGAACATGATCTAAATTCCTCTTGTCGTTACTCAATGGTCGAACAATAATAATAATAACAAAATGATTATGTAATATATATGTGATTCGAAAATTTTTACGTAGCAAATGATCTATATTGAATAAGCTGGGATAGAATAAAAGTTTATATGACAAGAAATTCTTGGGTTAGAGTTTATTAAATCCATTGGTGTCCTTGAATAATTTCTCTTTTCTTCCTGTTCACTTATTACAGTACTTGATACTATCTTCACCTTGTATAATCTTTTTTCAGTGTAACGCCTCAAAGAAGTAAGTTCGACAATAGAAATAAAGAATATCGGTACAACTGCAATAGTAACATCAGGTTATATTCTTCCGAGTGAAAAATATAAGTTATACACCAAAAACTTCATCACCCCTTTTATTCTAAAAATAGATATTAAAAAATCTTACTATATTTATAACTTTTAATTATTTCTCGAATTTTAGTTTGCAAGAATTTCTTACTATATATAGTATTTGTATTTATATATGTTTTACCATATATACAATCATTTTCTATACCGAACTGGCTGTTCCGGAGTTTTTTGTTTGGTACAGAGTTCATTATGTAGCTGAGGTGTTCAAACAGTTTCTTCAACGTAATTAATAATTTCTTTGCCGCAAATTCAAATGCGAAATGCGAAATTTAAATTTTAACCAATCAATGCAATTATATGAAAAAATAGTTGTTGCAAATTTTTTCGACTCAAAATATAATTTTTTAGCAAATTACGTTGTTCGGTAAATCCACGCTTGAAATACGAGTGAATTTTATTGACTAAAGAATACTAGTGCAACTTTAGTGAAACCATTTTCCCTTATCGATTATCTGTACATCGTAGTTTGTATTTCAACATTTGGTAACGCCTGGATTTACGCTAGTTCAATTTTGGTGACTGATAGATCTTTACTTTATTCCTAATTAAGTGGACAAAAAATTGCTATATATTACGTGATTATCGTTGTACTGTAATACAGTGATACGCGTTTTTTTTACTTCGAAGGATCAGAGTTTTAAGGACATTCCTAGGCTAAACTAATACTCAAATTAGATCATAACAGATAAATGATAAGAAATAATTCAGTAATTACGTATGTATGTATGTATGTAGGTAGGTTATGGGTTAACGTGCCAAACAAGTTTATTATTTATTGGAATATGTATAATGGTTGCAAAAATAATCAATAATAAAACAGAATTAAACAATGTTTGAAAAGCATTTATTATTTATCAACCTTTTTATGCCAAGACATGGCATCAGTTATGATTTTAGCTGGTCAGTTAAAAATCTCTGACTGATTAAATATTGGTTATAGTTATAACCGGTCACTGCCGACTATAATCATAACTGAAACCAATTCTTAAATGCTACCTTAAGATTTTCAAATTTTGAAATAATACAATCTAATGCTAATGAAGTTATCTGTTGCGTATTTATTATACCAACATTAAATGCTTCCATAGTAATTGTTCGAAGACTTAAAAACGAAGAAAATCTATATATTAAAAAGATGATTTTTGACAAAGAGGCATAGGCATGTCAATTATGCAACTAAGGAAATGAAGATCTTATGTGTATAGCTGAGGGCAGTGTTGTTATAGGACACAGGCACTGGGAATTCAGTCAACTATCACTGGTAAAAACATCATATTTTAACTAAATAGTAACCAATAATATATATATAGTATATATAGTATATATATATATATATATATATATGCTATATATATATACAAGGCAAACTCGATAAGCTAAAACTCGTGGGAAGGACCTAAATATTTGGCTTATTAGATAATTCATTTTATTAAATTTTATATTAAGCTGAAATTATATAAAGATCTAATCATTTTTCAGCTTATATAATCAAAAAAAAAAAAACATTTTTTCTTCGAATTACAATTGAATTATAAAATCTAAACTATAATAGTTAAGAAAAAAAAAGAAACAATACTAATTTGCTGTAACAAATTATTTTGATTAGTTATAATTTTTTTTTTAAACTTATCTAAAACTCATAAAAATATAATGTCAAGATTAAGATTATTACTACTTTCTTGACCAATATACTGATATACAGTCCCGTATGGAACAAAATATAGTCGCACTTAAAACTTTACCCGGTTCTCAAACAAGTTCTACTGAATTTTTATGAGAAGTTAATTAACTGAAATAAACTTTCGATATATTCAAATGCTGATTTATGGGAAATATGTTAGATTAATGAAAGATCGGGTTCGGAAGATTCTTTTTCTTTAACTGTTTCAATTATAGACTTCATTGACGGCATTTCATTAGCTGCAATATAATTATCTAAATTAATAAATTCATCTAATTCCATTCGATTTTTTTTAATACCAAGAGGAAATTTATTTATAAGCATTAGTAGTTCAGAATTAGTTAATTGCTTAATAGATTGAATAGTTTCATTATCAACATTAACATCAGTACCATTAGGTAAAATGCCAGTTTGCTGCCATGCATGTATAATTGTTTGAGTAGTTACTTTATCCCAAGCGATTTTAACAAATTCAATAGCTTCACGGATATTTGTCTTGGGAATTTCTGAAATAGGTTTGTTTTGTGCAATAGCATCATCATATTTTTCAATTCGATCTATACAATAAGTTCGTTGGTATTGACATTTAAAACTGTATATAATTTCAGTATCACATGGTTGAAGATATGCAGTACATTTAGAAGGTAAAAAATGAACTTTGATATTTGAAAGAATTGTATTATCATTAATACTGTAAGAGGAGGCGTTATCTACAAGCAATAGTACTGTATATTTCTTTTTGACTTGCACATAGTCATATTAAGCTTATCAAGCCAATAGTTAAAGATTGAAGTCTGCATCCATACTGTAGAGTTCTAGTAGTAGTAAACTGGTAAAGTATTTTTATCAATTCCATTAAGTGGTTGTGGGTTTTTATATTTGTGAATCATTAAAGGTGTTAACTTTTCCTCTACAGAACTTACAGTAAGCATTAAAGTTATACGATCTTTTGCTTTTTTTTGTCCTGTAACAGGACCTTGTACCAATGTTTTTGTAGGTTCTAGATGATAAAAAAGAGCAGTTTTGTCACAATTAAAAATATTTTCTCTTGGATATGATTGAATAAGTTGTTGTAATTCTTTTCAATAACGTGAAAGATCTTCTAATAGTGCTGAGTTGGCCTCACCTTGTCGAACAAATTCATTCAAATAGTGATATTTTTTAAAATTCATAACCCAACCCGGAGAAGCTTGAAAGTCATTAGTATTTGTTATGCGAGCAAATTCTTGGGCTTTAACTTTCAATATTTCACCAGAAAGAGTTTGTTCATTACGTATAGCATGTTCAACCCATAAAGCAAGTGCTGAGTCAATAGTTGGAAATCCAACAGTACAGCGCCATTTAGAGTTAGCAAGTGGTGAATCTTTTTCTAATATAGAGTGTCTCGTATGAAAAGGAACCATTTTTACATATAAACAATTTTGAGTAAATTAGGTTTTAAAAACTGCGGCTTACCATGTGATCTTCCAAAATTATGATCTAAAAATAACATTAGAAAATTCTATACAACGATTCGATTCTTGTCTTTAAATCTAGTGCTAGTGGGTAATGATTCAACAAATATTGTAAGAAAATTTTTTTATTCTGTTTATTAATTAATTTTCTGTCTTCACATCTTATGGCGATTTTCTGGTGAAATTTCTTGTGGTCTCCCCTGGTCTTCTAGCTTTTCTGGTAATTTAATTATGTTATTAGTTTTTATTTTGTTCTTCCAGATTTTACTAATTAATTTTTTTGTCTTTAGGTCTTTCGGCAATTTTCTTGTGAGTTTCTTGTAGTCTTCCTTGGTCTTCTGGCTTTCTGGTAATTTTAATTGTGTTGTTGGGTTTTTTCTGTTCTTTCAGATTTTATAATTAATTTTTTTTGTCTTTAGGTCTTTTGTCGATTTCTGGTGAAATTTCTTGTGATCTCTCCTGGTCTTCTAGCTTTCTGGTAATTTTAATTGTGTTGTTGAGGTTTTTTTCTGTTCTTTTGGATTTTGCTAATAAATTTTCTGTTTTCAGGTCTTTTGATTTTCCGGTAAAATTTCTTGTGGTCTCTTCTAGTCTTCTGGCTTTCTGGTAATTTTAATTGTATTGTTGGAGTTTTTTCTGTTCTTCCAGATTTTACTAATTAATTTTCTTTTCTTTAGGTCTTTTGACGATTCTGGTGAAATTTTTTGTAGTCTTCCCTGGTTTTTCAGCTTTTCTGGTAATTGTAATTGTTGTTTTTTTTTTCTGTTTTTCTGGATTTACTAATTAATTTTCTTTGTCTTCAGGTCTTTTGACAATTTTTTGATAAAATTTCTTGTAGTCTTCCAGCTTTTCTGGTAATTTAATTGTGTTATTAGATTTTTTCTGTTCTTTTAGATTTACTAATTAATTTTCTTTGTCTTCAGATCTTTCAATGATTTTCTTGTAAAATTTCTTTTGGTCTCCTCTAGTCTTCTGGCTTTCTGGTAATTTTAATTACGTTGTTGGTTTTTTTCTGTTCTTCCAGTTTTTACTAATTAATTTTCTTTGTCTTCAGGTCTTTCATCGATTTCTAATGAAATTTCTTGTAGACTCTCCTGGTCTTCCGGCTTTTTGATAATTTTAATTGTATTGAGTTTTTTTTTGTTCTTCTGAATTTTACTAATTAATTTTCTATCTTCAGGTCTTTTGTTGATTTCTGGTGAAATTTCTTGTGGTCTCCCCTGGTCTTCCGGCTTTCTGGTAATTTTAATTGTGTTGGGGTTTTTTTGGATTTTACTAATTAATTTTATGTCTTCAGGACTTTCAGCGATTTTCTAGTGAAATTTCTTGTAGTCTCCCCTGGTCTTCCAGCTTTCTGGTAATTTTAATTGTGTTGTTGGGTTTTTTTTTCTGTTCTTCTGAATTTTACTAATTAATTTTTTGTCTTGGGTTTGGGCCTTATAGCTTAATTGTTAAGTTGCCAAACCCCCACGAAAATTAGGTCAAGGTCTATGGTTTGAGTTGGGCTGGAGGCAGAAAAAACTCTATAACCTACAGGTGAGGAGCCAAAATCGAACACGGAGCCCTGTGGAAGTCCAAGTATAGTACAGATTTGATAAGAAATTCCCAGAAGGAGATCTAACTATAGAGAGTTGGCATCATATTTGGCAAGCAGCATCATAAAAAGTCTGAACAATAGGTTGCATATGTTAATTTGTAGAGATCAAACTATAGAGAGTTGGCATTATGTTTGACAAGCGGTGTCATAGAAGATTTTAGGACAAATAGGTTGTGCGTGTAAATCCTTGAGGCATTTAGGTAATACCAACAACCAGGCAGTTTGGGATCTTGCTTGGGAGAGTAATACTAATGTTCTAAAACTAGAAGTAACAAATAAAGTAGTGGATATAGTGACAGATCTGTATAGTAGCACCAACAACCCAGGGGTCTGGGATCTTGATTGGGAGGGTAATACTAATGTTCAAACTGGGAGTGATGAGTGAAACGGTGAATATAGTAAAGATTTGTGAAAAAGGATTGGTCTAATTAGAATTCTGGAAATACCTCTGGCACCTATATAAGGGTTAGGTATTGCATCGTATATTATTAACTTCAGTAATGAGTACCATGCCAGTTCGTTGTTAGTCAAGGTTCTAGGTCTCCTTGCAGCACCAAGCTGAAAGTGAAAATGATCGTAAGTAGTACATCCACACCTAAAAATAAATATACTGGAAAGCCTTTGGCGCTCATGCTATAGACAATACCAACTTTGGTAGCATTATAAAAGGCAAGTGGTACAATGCAAAGTAATAACCAGAAATTTCAATAAATCTGGCCATGCCCGTTTGGGAAGGTTGTGGCTTGAGATACGAATCATGTTACGGCAGCACCCCAAAAGTTGGCTTGAGATATGAACATGATAATGGCAGTACAACATGTATCCAAATCAGAGTGGTACTAAATCAAATATAAGGCTATGTATACCAATTTGGAAGCAACAAGAGCAAAAAACCACCAGAATGAACCAAATTGGGAGGAAAAGAAAGTTACTACAGGAAGTGGATAGGGGGACAAAATACTAATAACAATACAGAAAACTATATATAGAGAAAAGATAGGTTATACACCAGCTAGAAGTTGATTAATAGAGTAATAGCCGTTGATTAAATTCTAAGATATAGCAAAAATACGACAAATTGCTTAGGGTGGGTGTCATTAGATAGACTAATATAGCACAACTTAATTCCTGTAATATACAATATGTAATAATTTCTTAAGTTCTTAATTAATAAAAATTACAGCGTATAAGCAATTTACTAAAAAAAAAAAAAAAAAAAATTTTCTGTCTTCAGGTCTTTCGGTGATTTTCTGGTGAAATTTCTTATAGTCTCCCCTGGTCTTCCGGCTTTCTGGTAATTTTAATTATATTGTTAGAGTTTTTTCTATTCTTCCAGATTTTATTAATTAATTTTCGTTTCTTTAAGTTTTTTGACGATTCTGGTGAAATTTCTTGTGGTTTCCTCTGGTCTTCCGGCTTTTCTGGTAATTGTAATTGTGCTGCTGAGTTTTTTTTTTGTTTTACAGATTTTACTAATTAATTTTCTTTGTTTTCAGGTCTTTGACAATTTCTTGTGAGATTTTTTGTAGTCTCTCCTAGCCTTTTGGCTTTTTGGTAATTTTAATTGTGTTTTTTTTCTATTTTTCTAAATTTTACTAATTAATTGTCTTTGTCTTTAATTCTTTTGCCGATTTTTGGTAAAATTTTTTATGTTTTCCTGCTCTTCTGGCTTTTTTGGTAATTTTATTGTGTTGTTGGGTTTTTTTTTTGTTTTTCCAGATTTTACTAATTAATTTTCTTTGTATTTCTTGTGGTCTCCCTGGTCTTTCAGGTTTTCTGATTTTTCTAGTCTTTCAGCATTTTACTAGTGTGCTTTTCGAGTTTTTCTAGATTTGAACTGTTTTTGGGTCTTTCAGTGGTTTACTGGTAAATTTTCTTGTGATCTCTAGATCTAGAGAATTACAAGAAGGTTCTCTAGTAAATTTTTGAAAGTGGTCTTTGGTCAATGCTTTACTGTTGAATTTTATAGTTGTTTTTTTTAGGAATTTTGGTGTTTATTAAAAAATTTCTTATAGTTTTTAGTTTTGTTGATGAATTTTTTTCTGGCTATGTTTTTTTTTTTATATTTATATTGAAATTTTAAAGTTTATATTGTATGATTGGTTAAGTAGTTGTTATGAAATAATTTTTTTAAAGTTTAATAAATTAAAATTTATTTTATTTAGAAAATATAAAATATTTTTATTAAAAAAATTATATATAAAAATAAAAGAATGTATAAAATATAAAATATATAGTATTTTTTTATTTTATTTAGATTTTACTGGTTTAAT